ACTTTCAAATCATCAATATCATCAGTAAAAACTACATGAGGGACACAGTCCTTTTATGGATGCACATCATTTAAGCCTCATCAGAGTCATGCAAGATTCTACCAGGCTTGGATTACTCCTAGGACAGAATGTTGCATATGTCTTTGGAATTTTCCAAAGAGTAAAAGTATCACAGTTCTGCACTATTCCCAATTTCTTAATAGGGCACCAAAAACTCAGGCTTCCTGGATGAACTGATACGGCAAAATTCTTAGGCTAAAACTCTACTGTGCCAACCAGTACAGAAGAACCATAATACTTCCAGGGTTCTGCGCTTTATCAGATGGTCACTAGATACCATATACTCTTTAGTCAGTCTCCAGATACTTGTAATAGTCTTTGATTGCTTGCTTGTTTTATGGTACTGGGGTCAGGGCCTTCACACTGACCTACATACCTAGTTCTTTTTTTATTTTTTTATTTTGAGATAGGTTCTTGCTACATCACTAAATTGCCTGGGCTGAGCACAAACTTGTGATCCTCTTGCCTCCAACTCAAGAGAGCTTAGATTACAGATGTGTGTCACTGTGTCTAGCTTACAGTGTTTTATTTTTAAACTTTTGCTAGTAGGTTATTTTCCCATATTAGACCCCTATTCCAGGCATTTACACAGAATTGAATATTGTCTTGTACAGAATCTGAGGCTTCAGGCTGTACCACAAATGAGCATCAGAAGTCAGAGTTGATCTCTTAATAAAGGCTATCTACGAAAAACCAACAACCAACATCATATCAAATGGCCAAAAACTGAAAACCTTCATGTTAAAATCAGGAACAAGACAAGGATGTCCACTATCACCACTTCTCTTCAATATAGTTCTGGAAACATTAGCCACAGCAATTAGTCATTAGTCATAAATAATGCAATAAAGGTAGTAAAGGAAGAAGTGAAAATGTCATTATTTGCTGATAATATGATGCTGTACACAGAAGGCCCAAAAAACTCTGCCACAAAACTTCTAGACTTAATTGACACTTTTAGCAGAGTAACTGGATACAAGGTCAACACCCAAAAATCAATAGTCTTCTTGTACGCAAATAACAGAGTCACTGAGAGAGAAATTACGGAAACAGTTCCTTTCAGAATAGCATCCAAAAAAAATGAAGTATCTAGGAATCAATCTAACAAAAGAAGCAAAAGGCCTCTACACTGAAAACTACAGCATTCTGTAAAAAGAGACCAAAGAGGATATAAGAAAATGGAAAGATATTCCCTGCTCCTGGGTAGGAAGAATCAACATAGTGAAAATGGCCATACTATCAAAACTGCTATACAGATTCAATGAAAAGCAAATTGAAATTCCAACACTATATTTCACAGAACTAGAAAAAAGAATCCAAAAATTCATTTAGAACCAGAAGAGACCTAGAATAGCAAAAGCCATAGTAGGCAACAGAGATATGGCAGCAGGTACAACAATTCCCAACTTGAAACTATACTACAAAGCCACTCTGATAAAAACAGCATGGTACTGGCAAAGAAACAGACCCAAGGATCAGTGGAACAGATTGGAAGACACAAAAACAACTCCAGATGCACTCAGCTATGTCATATTTTACAAAGGAGCGACCATCCTCACTGGAGGCAAGATAGCCTCTTTAATAAATGGTGTTGGAAAAACTGGATCTCAACCTGCCAAAGATTAAAACTAGACCTTTATCTATCCCCATGCACTAAATTAAAATTGAAGTGGATTAAAGATCTAAATATTAAAACAGAAACACTAAACTTACTGGAAGATAAGTTAGGCAGAACTCTTGAAGACATTGGCATAGGAAAAGACTTTATGAACAAGTCCTCAGTAGCACGGGAACTAGAACAAAGAATCAACAACTGGGATCTCGTCTTATTAAAAAGCTTCTGCACTACAAAAGAAACCACCAACAGAACTAAGAGACCACCTACAATGTGGGAAAAAAAATTTTACCAGCTGCACCTCAGACAAAGGGTTCTTATCTAAAATATATAAAGAACTCAAAACAATCAGCCACCCCAAATATAAAGACCCGCTTCAAAAATGGGCATCCGAAATGAACAGATATTTCTCACACAAAGAAGTAAAAGCAGCAAGTAAATATATGAAAAAATGTTCCACATCACTGGTCTTTAGAGAGATGCAGATGAAAACAACACTGAAATTCCACCTCACCCCACAAAGAATGGCTGCTATCAAGAAATCACACAATAACAAATGTTGGCAGGGTTGTGGGGAGAAAGGAACCCTTCTCCATTGTTGGTAGAAGTGCAGACTGGTACAACCACTATGGAAATCAATATGGAGACATCAAAGAGCTGGGACCAAATGTCCATTTGACCCAGACATCCCTCTGCTGGGTATCTTTCCAAAAGAATTAAAAGAATCATAACACAGTGATACATGTGCACCTATGTTTATAGTGGCACAGTTTTTAATAGCTAAAACTTGGAAACAGTCCATTTGCCCATCAGTTGGAAAATGGATAAAGTGGTTTTTCTATAAAATGGAATATTACTCAGCCACAAAGAATGAGAAATTAGAGTCATTCATAGGAAAATGGATATATATTGAGGATATACTCCTACGTGAAATAAATAAGTCACACATGTGTAAATACCGAATAGTTTCTCTGGTGTGAAAAACTATAATAGTACAGACAATCCTAATGAGATAACTGATAATGTGAAATAGGAAGAAAAGGGCTAAAGGTGTAGGGAAAGTGGGAAGGGTAGGGGAAAGGTAATAAGGGAAAAGAAAAAATAGGAGAAAATGAAAAAATGGAAATAAAGTGTTTGTAATTGGGTAGGGGAGGAGGGGGTGAAGGGAGGGCAGAGACAAGGGGAAAAAAATGAGAACCAAGACCTATCAAGTAAAGGTACAAGATCCCAATAATGAATGTAATTGTACTGTATATCTAAAATGTACCAATAAACTCAATAAAAAGATAAAAAAAAGAAGTCAGAGTTGATCTAATTGAATGTGGAACATAAGAGACTTCAACTAAACACTTTACCCATAAAAGGACAATGGAGTTCAAGTAAATTCTGCAGTCCTTCTTCAAAAAGTACATCAGGGGATGAATTAGGCTTGCAAAGTGTGAATAAACCTTTAATGCAGTCTGCATAGCTCAGAATCCTTTGCATGGCTGGAGGGATGGTGGGACTCGGAATACTGGTTCAAACCCTGGTCCGCCCCTCCCTTGTGTTCATGCAAGATGTCTCAGGGCAGGAGATGAGTTCTAGAAGACTAGCAACATATGGCTTCTAGTGTTGACTGAAGGATCATGGTGACAGAGAAAGCATCAGCTCAGGATCATCTACTAGGAACGGGTAAAAGGCCTCATACATGGAACATTATGCTTGAAATTCATATTTATAACTAAGTCTCCAGACAAGGAGGCTCTGTGCCACATGGCCATCAACAGGAGTTACCACGTTTCAGAAGTACTTGGAAGGTCAGTCCTCCAAGACACAAGGTTCAAACTGAATAAATATTTCACCTGGACAGTCTTTACTCCCCTTGCACAAGGTGCCTAAAGCTGAAGGTTTCCTGGGGAACCAGCTTCATAACATCAGCATCCAGGACTAGGGATAAGAACGCTATGTGGTTGCCATATTTGGGTCTCAGAAATGTTGGCATGGGGCCCGTTTGTGAAGAAGAGCAGACAGAGCAGTACCAACAGTCTGTCTTAGGTGTTCTGAACAATCTGGGCCTCAAGCTCTATGAGGCTGTGTAATCCCCTCTTTCCTAGGCATCTGAGATGGTGGTTTCCAGTCCCAGTTCAAAGGGAGGATGAATTTCCTTTCTGTGTGTATATCCTAAGAATTCTATTCGCAATGCTATATACTTTAAGGACAGGACTCTGTTCCTAAAGGTAAGCACCATATCCTTTTAAATTTGTTTACCTTCAAGCTAAGTCCTTTTTAAAAACTTGCTGCTCAGTAGCCAATCTTTTTTATACATAGACAATACCCAGAATTTAGCTAATGTCTGATACATAGCATAGGCCCCCAATAAATATTTGTGAAACGAATAAATGACTGAGTTCTAATCTCAATCCCCAAAGTGGAGGACAGGGACAGGAGGGACTGCTGCGCACCAACCTAGAAGGAGAAGTGCTAGAGGCAGCAAGTCAAAGATTACTACTGATCAGGAGCACCACGTTCTCTCTAAGTCATGGACTGTGGCAAGACTAGACACGGTGCAAGTGGAAAGGGGTAATATTAAGCACAGCCACTCACAATAATGCCCTGCCTGAGCCTCCAGGGACACAGCTCTTCAGCCGAGTAGCACCCTCCCCAATTTATTGAGTCTATTCAGACCACAACATATTTTTGGTGAAATTTATCTATGTTTTAGGACTCCCATGATCTGATTTTTGCAAGCAAACTTGGGGTTCCCAGAGTTTTAGAGATGGCAGAATATTCAAGGCATGCTCAATTGGCCTTGCCTTACTTTAGAAAGCCCATTTGAAAGATTTGTTTGGCTACTGGTAAATTTTAAAGGTTTAAGAGAAGCCTCCTAGTGAAGGTAGAGACAAAGGTTCTTTATCTCCACCCAAGATTTTAGTCTGCCAAAAAAAGGACGAATGATATCTTACTTCCTAGGGCTTTGATCTACAAAATCCCATAACAACTTTAAGAGATACTTCTCTGGGTCATATTCTTAGAAAGATGCTCTATACTAGATGAGTAACTATGATGCACCCACATAGACAATGGAAAGACACATCATTTCTAAAAAAAAACTAGGGTTTACAAATATCACTTGTTCATTAAACAAAATAACTTCTGCCAGGCATGGTGGCACACACCTGTAATCCCAGCACTCAGGAGGCTGAGGCAGGAGGGTCACTGTGAGTTCAAGATCAGCCTGGGCTACATAGTAAGTTTCAGGTCAGTCTCAACTACATAGTGAGACCCTGTCTTAAAAAAAACAAAACAAAACAAAACAAACAAACAAAAAAAACAAATATGCACTTACTTTCTCCTTTGTGCCAAACGCTGTGTTAGCCTTCAGGAACCAGAAGTCATTGTCTTTCCACCTTCAAGGACATCTAGCCTCCACCTGCTCCTCTCACTTCTCCTGCATACTCACACCAAGTCAAGCTCTCTCCAACAGCTTTCCTACAGGATGGCTATTTGGCTCTCAATAAGTGGCTCAGTGACACAGTGAATGTGAAGAGTCTAGCACACTGTCCATCTCTAAATCTACTCCTCCTTACCTACCAGAACAAACACCAAGAGCCACAAATCTGGTACTAGTTGTGTACAACTATTAGTCATCTAACCTTTAGAAATTCATTTCAGCCTGTTCTGAGAATTCTCTTCTTGAACCCTTTTCAGCTCACAGGGAAGAGGAGTAAAGATTTCTAATAATGGGCATAGTCATTACCTCACAAAGGGACCTGTTTTGTCAGATGACTCAAATTAGAAAATTCTTTTTTTATGTTGAGCTGAAACATCACTCTGTGAATTAAACCACAAGTATTTGTCCTGCGCACTGTAGTCACACACATCTTACCTACTGCTTCTCACACATGGCAATATTCTAAATACTTAAAAGATATCTGTCACATTTTACCAAATCTGTAAAAGAAATGCTAATCATCCTATGATTCCCAGACCTTTTTAGAATATTGATTGCCTTCCTTTCCCCATGAACTCTTCAGCCAGCATTTCTCTTTAAGACACAGTATCCAGATATACTGTAATGTTCTGGGTTGGTAGTCTGCTCAGCAAATGATTATTATACATCTGGTAGTGTAACCTACAAAGCTTCATAATGAATTTTTCTCACTGAATTCAAGTGGAAAATGAGCATGGCATAACCAATTAGAAAAATACCATCGGAATCACATTTATTCAAGACTCAAGAATAAAGAGGCAGGGGGTAGCAGAGTGGTCAAGAGTACAGATCAAGGCCAAATGACCTAGATGACTTCTGCTTCTAGTTATTATATATGTTACATATTAGTCTGTTTCAGATTCTTTACCAATCAAATGGGGATTATAACAGTTCTTACCTTATAGGACTGATACACCGAATTAGGTAAGTTATCAGGCATAAACATTTAGAACAGAAACACAGATCCAACAAATTTATCAAACAAGGAAGGCAGCTTATTTATTTAAGTGGTGACCTAAATCTCTTGAGCAATATGCATTCACAAATGATATAAAAAGAAAATAACTTATAGTTATTTCCTTTGGAACTAAATGTTGAAATACTAATGGATAAAAAAACTGACACATTCTTAAGGTCAAAGGATGTGATACCCCTATTCAGAGACGAACTGAATTATGTCAGCTGAGAGAAAGCTAAGGGGAAAACAGAATGAACAAGAAGTAACAATTAAAAAAATAAATTCTCGCTAGGTGTGGTGATGCACGCTTGTAATCCCAGCACACGGGAGGCTTGACTCAGGACGATCGCCACAAGTTTGAGGCCAGCCTGGCTACATAGTAAGTTCAAGGTCAGCCTGATCTAGCAAGACCCTATCTAAAGATCAAAAACAGAAACATAAATAAAAATTAAGTAAGTTCTTAAGGATAGTTTTCCCTCCCACTAAAATCTAGCTTATTTATTTTAATAACACTATAAATGTTTACTTTCTGATATTTTATGTGCCCTAGGAACATATTCTTTATTGATTTATTAGTATATATGCTTTTTAAACCCTCATACAAAGAGTCATAATCAAATGCTAATCAACTTTGTAGCACTCATTTAGATCTAAAACTAAGAGTGGCCCATACGATGCCTGAACCAGGTGGATGTGAAGTAACTGCAGGATTTCACACAAGCCTCTGCAGAACATGCTGTAAAAAGCTAGGGGTGGTTAAATAAACCGATCAAGTGAAACAAATAAGCACACAACAGAAAACATATACTACTGCAAACTTCCATAAGCAGTTTTAACAATATCAATACAATAATTTCTACAAATGATGACTCCCTTGTTTAAAGTTTAGCTTACTCTTCGTTAAAATTTAAAGAAAACAGCTATTTGAACAGCATATTTTGAAAGTCAAACATATACCTTGTAATTGTGATGACTTTCAAATTATTAAAACGCTCTTCTTTAGAAGGTAACATTTACCTAACAAGATATAACTATCATTTCATTATCAGATGGTTGCTTATCCCAATAATAACTATACTTATTAATAGAAGATAAAAATATAAATAAATCTTAACTATACTTCTGGAAAAAGGCATGATGGAATGTGCTCTCAAGATGTAGTTCATCCACATATCCCTTCAAAATTCCTAAACTCTTAGGGATTGGCAACATTCTGCCACTTGTGAAGGAAATGGAGGGACGATACATTCAGGATAATAACACACACTAAACACTTATTAAACTGATATGCTTATCACTGTGCTAGGTATTTTAGTGTATTATCATGTTCATTTGATGTTCACAGACAGGGCAGGTAGCAATGCGATGCTCAATACAGGTGAGATTTAGGAAAGTTAATTCTTTCCAGCTGTATATGGAATACATACAGATATAACATAGGGTTGTGTTAATGAAGTGAAATGAAATGCCAACACCGTACAGATATCGATAAATTTTTAAAAGAATTTTTAAATGAGTCACAAAAATAATATTGGATTCCAAAATCACAGAAAACATCACAGTAGAATTTAAACAGCAAATAAGTTAATGAACATTAACCAAAATACTTATGAAGTGACAATAAGGATATACTGTATGATCATATCGCTGCCACTTAAATGTTTTCTGTGTTTGTAGGTGTTTTGGGGTTTGTAGGTGTTTGTAGGTGCATTTTTGCCAAATGCAGAAGATACGTATAAACCATAAAGTCATGCTGTTGTGAAAAGAAGCCCAATTCAAGGCAATTAAAATTTGTCCTGTGAGTCCCATATAGTGTCTATCATCCCACCCAGCACTCTGGGAAGCTCAAACAGGAGGATCACAAATTTGATCCCAGCCAGGCAACTTAGCAAGTTCCTATCTCAAAAAAATAAAAAAAGGGCTGGGGATATAGTTTAGACTGAAAGTCCTAGGAACAAACGCGAGGGCTGGGGGTGGGAGGTGTGCTATGTGTAAAAGAGTATTTTAATTTACATATTTAAAGACCTTTTTCTGTGTGACCAACAGAAATTGTGAGACAAACGGGCATTGTTCTAAGCCTCTACATTTGTGACAGTTTATTACATGGCAACAGAAAAGTAATAAAATACTCAAACTTAGAAAAATGAAAAAAAGGACAATTACTAACTCTTAAGGGTGGGAGAGGGAGACTGTGCAAGAAAAGAAAAGTAATCATAGTGTACACAGGTTCTAAACCACGCCTGCAAAGCTTCTGATGCTACTGTTGTGGGGTCTGTGTCCCCCTGCCAGAAGCTGGGCCAGCCCCCTGACTTGCTCATACCAAGTGAATGCAGAAGTGATTCTGAGTAGCTTCCAGGTTAGGTCAGTTGCTGCCCTGCTCTGTGGAGCACTCACTATAGAGCCCATTTTACCAGGGGATTCAGCACTGGGTTTTCAGGCAAAGCACAAATTTTCCATTTTTCATTTACTATTTATAGATCTTTCCAGGCGCTATTGTTTCTTGTCAATATACCATCCTTGGGGACTTCAAGGAGAAGAGGGACGGCTGTAATGAAGCAGAATTCAGACGTTCCTGGATTCTCCAGCCACAACACCACCACACTGCACCATTACCTCCTGACATGAGCTAGCTAAAACAGCGGTGTCAGTAGCAGCCACTATAATCTAGGAAGGCAGGATATTTAAAAATTTAAGTATAGGCAGGATGGTTGACTGCCAGTTGAAAACATGTCTTTTGCTCCACTCTTTACCCTGGAACGTTCTATCAATTTCATTTGCTGTAAAACCCTAACCAGTCTGCCTAACTTTTTAATCCTTACATTTCTTTTTTTTTTTCTTTTTATTGCGTTTATTGGTACATTCTAGGCATACAGTACAGTTACATTCATTACTGGGATCTTGTACCTTTACATGACAGGTCTTGGTTTTCATTTTTTCCCCTTGTCCCTAAAACTTAAAGGAATTGACGGAAGGGCACCACCAGGAGTGGAGCCTGCAGCTTAATTTGACTCAAAACAGGAAACCTCACCTGGCCTGGACATGGACAGAATTAAAAGATTGATAATCCTTACATTTCTAATGCAAAAAATTTCAAAAATGATGTTTGATTGAATAAAAAAAACTCTTGAAAATATTTCAACAGTCTTCTCATGTCTAAAGTGAACTTAAATCTTATTAACTAAAATCAAGATATACTTAAGGTACTGTGAGGTAAAAAGACAGTGCAGACTCTCTATCCTAAGAGATTAAGATAAAAAATACGCACTGAGCTAGTATAAGGCAGAATAGGGTAAGTCCTATAAGAAAGACAAAACAGGACAGACTAATTTGGCAGGCAAGAAAGCAGCACGAAAGATATGAATAACCTCTCCAAGCCCAGGATATTCAGTTTCTTTGGTCTCTACCTGCTCCAAACCCTAGACCTTACCTTCACCTGAAATGATTCCATCCTTCAAATCTTAACTTTTGAAATGCTTTTTCAGATTAATTCTAGCACTTCATTAGGGGGACTCCTATTCCTTCCTCCATCAGTCTCCACAGAAGAGAAGACGGTATTGTTCACTTCCCAGGAGAAGGCAAGTGGCTCCTCTAGTTTGCATGACTGATGAAACTCTTCTACCCTACTCCACCCTACCCTCACTTTCAAGGAAGAAGGAATAAGCAACATCTTGACCTTACACCTCCAACAATTTATCAGAAGCCCTGTATGCAGTGGTTAGTGAATTCTGCTCAGCTGTCTCAGACTCCTTGCGTTTTATTTTAAAAAACTGAGAATGGGGAAGGGAAAGAGGAATAAGGTAATCCCTCAAATATCCATCAGTCCAAATCAGGAAATGAGAAGCATTTTGTCCAAAATGCCCTATAAACTGTCAGTTATGGATCAGTTCATTTATTTGTTCTCTATTCACACTTAAAGAAGATTCTGTAAGCACAGAAACTGGGGCATTACTAAAAGTGCTGTCCAAGGTAGGCAATATTTATACCTAGTAATTTTCTACACGTCCCAATTCATTTCCAATACTCTTTCTACAGAAGCTATTTCAAACATTCCTAAACTCTCACTCTCATTCTTACTCTTAAAGACAAACTCTCACTCTTAAAGAAAACCTTGTCTTCAATTTCAGTGAGAAAATGGTAATATAAGTGTTTGACATATATGAATTTCTGGCTTTATCTGGCTCCTACTCCCTTCTCTTCACTCAGCAATTTGGGGAGGGGGGTTGTGTATGGGGAATGTGTACTGAGGACT